CTTCCAGTCCGGCCTCCAGCGTGCAGTGCCCGGACTCCTTGGGGACCCGGGAGCGGGTTTGGCTCTTAGGAGGTGACTGCGCTAAACTCCAGGCTTGGAGGAGCTTTTAAAAGCTGGGAGTTTCCCTTCCTAAAATTAATGCGAAAAGGCGATGTTTGAGCTGATGCTTCGGGCTGCCTCTCACCTAGCCCTCGTTAGCCCCATAGCAAATAAAGAATTGATTAGGGAACCAACATATTTTCTGGAGAGTTTTCTAGTGTTATTCCTAGGGAAAACTGGAGAAGTCTTCTCCTGCCTAGACATGGGACCACGAACATGGTACGTGTTGGGATGGGAGGCGAAGGCGTGCTGTGGGCATGGTTTGCTGATGGGGTGGTTTTGATTTCGGTGGGGGTGACAGAGGAGGCACCTCTTGTGCAGAGAGATCTCCAAGGCAAAGGCCCCGTCTAGTCCCATTTTCTTCAGAGACTCGCTTTGCTCCTCCCTTCCCCATCTGCCAGAAAAAGGAACTGGGTCCTCGGTGACTCAGTCCAGCTCTGAAGGGACTCTCTGTCCTTCCCAGTTGTGGGTACCAGTAATTGAGTGAAACAAACCACTCCACATAATGGCCTGCAGTGTGTGAGAAATCATTGCTGGGGGGGGAATCCTTGCCGTGACCGATGGAGTGTCTGGTCCACGGAGAAATCTCAAGGAGAACCCAAGGCAGCCACTGGCAAAGGTGAGAGCTGCATAGAGAAGGATAATCAGGATGCTTTGTGCTATGTCCCCGTACTGAGATGATAGAGAGGGCCTGACCTTTAATTGCAACAGAAAGAGGTCCCAGTCTCTCTTTTTTTTTTTTTTTCTAGACTTCTGGGACAGCTTCACAGTACTGAGTTTTGGTATAAAGATAGTATAAGGGCATGCCAGGCTTCCTCCAAGCATGACATGTGCCTGGTCCAGGCCCCTCAGGTGTCTGCTTAGAACGGGTGGCATGAGTCTGTATAGTGGCATCCAGATGCGAGCAGTGGATATTGCCTACAGGCAGATGCAACCGGTTGATGCAGATGCACCTGGTGGGTTATTTGCTGTAGTAAATAGCTTGGGTGTTAAGGTGACACGAGGCTTGTTCCAGAATGTGTTTTGTTTTTATCAGGCCCTCTACAAAGCGTAGTTAGCTTGTCCTCTTCCCATCACCTCCCTTTATGCAGTGCGCTAACGTGAAATGACGAGCCTGTCTCTCTTCCTTCTCCACATCAGAGCCAAGAGTGCTGAGATCTGCAGTGGCACATGCACCCTCAGCCGTGGTTGCAGAGCTGCTGCCTGGAAAGAGACTGTTCCCCTGCTCTGCGAATGTAAATCTGGAAGGTTGTGTTGCTGCGTTTCGGAGTAGTGGAGCACATAAAATTAGCTGCTGTCCGAGCCTGGCCCTCAGAGTGTGCACAGGTTTGACTGTCATACATTTCACTGATCCTCTCTTATCTCACCTCCAGGGTCTGAACATGTTGCAATACCGTCACATCTCTTTTTTTGCTGCCCTTATCGGGCTTATCAGACCATGAAGACCGATTACTGGCTTTAGTCACTTAATTGTTTTATGAGAATTGGACCACTTAACTACTCCTGGGACAGATCACTGTATATACTCATGGTGACTTTCAAATACAGGTGAGCGCAGTGTAACTTCTACTCATCTCTGGAATCAGTCCCACACTCCAAGTGATAATAGACAAATGGAGGGAGGTACTAGAATATTAGTGGCATAAATCATTCCTGTGAGAAAGATGTGCAGGGATTGCTAAAAGCAGGATTGTCCCCTGCAAGAAATGATTTACCTTTTTTGTAACGTGTTGCGATCTTTCAATGAGAAGGACCAGCAGTGTTATAACATTTCAGGAATTCTGGTGGTAAAGACACGTTACAAGTAGTGGTGTGGCTTTCTCAGTATGTCATAGGCATCTAACAAGGCTAGTGCCAGGAGAAGCAGTGGGCTGAAAATCAGAAGTTAACACTTTTCACCCAGGCTCTCTAGTGCTTTAATAAACAGATGAGTTCTTCAAGGGTTATTTCAACACTGAAGGGCAGCTTGGGAGGTATGTCAGCTACAAGGGAACCAAGCGGAAGGATGTGCTGCTTCGTATGTCATTCCAAAACGCAGAGCTGAGAGAAATCATGTGGAGCCTGTATGAATCTGAAATCAAACCAGATTTAATGTGCTACTAAAAAATGCACATGGAAGAATTTGTTTGGGGCTTCTCCTTCAGATTTCAGCTGTGAATACGCATCTTTGAAACTATTCAACCTGCTTTTTCACCAAAAAATGAGAAACGGAAACATCTGATTTGGGTTTTGACATCACGGACTAGACCAACAAAAAAGGAAGACAAAAAAAATAGCAGGAGGGAGTGACTCATATGGAAGAACACTGCAGAAAATCAAATCTCTTCCAAGTGCTTTGGGGAGAAATGGACATAGGCAATAGGAAGGAAATTTATCAGATACTGTAGAGTATTTGCCAGCTTTAACGTGGGATTTTTCCTTCTACTGTTTCACATATTCAGAACTTGATATGAATATTTAATAATTCATAGCAGACTATTATCACTGCAATTATAATAGTTATTGTAACTGTAAGTTCCTCAAGGCAGGACCCATACCTTTATTAAGACTCTTTCACGTCACAAACATTTTATAAATAATAGGCAGCATCAACGATTTGATTACTGCATTCCCCATGTCTGCCTCCATAAAATTCAAGGGGTTTCTGTGAGCTTGACAAGGGAAAACTCCCTGCAAAGAGAAAACACTCGCTGCTTAACTGCATACGGGGACCACGCCATGAGCAGTGCGGGCTGCCAGGGCTGCACTGGCCGTCGTTTGCTGCTGGGGCTATTTCAGGATTGCAGCTCCCAGGTTCAGCTGCAGCTTGGAGACTGCACTCATCCTTCCAGGGGAAAAAAGAGAATTTGGAGGTTGTACCACCTTGTTAATACAGGAAGAGCTTGAAGACAATTTATTTTGGTTTTGATGCGAAGAGAGGGAGAAAAGGATCGAAATAATGACATATTTTCTTCAATTTCAGTTTTAGTTTTAAAGCCATGCACCTGAGTCAAACAACGCATCTTACAACATCAGTGCCCACTGTCCGAAAGTCTCGAGGACTGGAACGAGATAGGACTAAGCTATAAAGCATGAACCTGTATGTTGCCTATCGTGCGTAGATAAAAGACCTCAGGGTTTGGGGTGGACTTATTATTGCAATGTGTAAGAAAATGCGTTGCAAAGACTGCCTCATTCATTTAAAGGCTGCAGTTGGTTTGCTGGATAACAGCATTTTTGACTGAGGGACCGATTCACAAATGGATGTTTTCTCCATCAGGAAAGAGGAGGGGGCGACCATCAGAATTGCCATCTCGTCGTGGTTCAAGCCGGCAGGCAGCTGAATGCCACACAGCCGCTCACCCCCTGGCCCCCTCCCTCAGTGGGGTGGGGAAGAGAATCTGGAAAAAAGAGTAAAACCTGTGGGTTGAGGTAAAGACAGTTTATTAAAGCAGCAGAGGAAAAGAATAACAACAACAACAATAATAACAATATAATAATAATAATAATGGTAATAGAATATACAGAATTTGAAAACAAATGATGCACAGTGCAGTTGCTCACCACCTGCTGACTGATACCCAGACCGTCCGAGCAGCAATCGCTCCCCCCAAGCGTGACGTCATCGCTCCCCCCAAGCGTGATGTCATACGGTCTGGAATAGCCCTGGGGCCAGTTGGGGTCAGCTGTCCTGGCTATGTCCCCTCCCAGCTTCTTGAGCCCCTGGCAGAGCATGAGATGCTGAAAAAGTCCTCGACTGACTGGTGTGAGCCCTGCTCCGCAACAACAAAACATCACTGTGGTCTCAACGTTCTTCTTGTACTAAATGCAAATCACAGCGCTATGCCAGCTACGAGGAAGAAAATTAACTCTGTC